TTTTTTTTTTTTGTTTGTTTCCCATATGGGGAGGTGGATGGTCAAGCACGTTGCATTATTGGATATATATTACATGCAGTTTCTGTTGTTTTATACTGCACAATTTAAGAAAACGATATGTCTGCACTTATAAATAATAACCAGTGAAATTAAAAATGTAATTAAATACATAGAAATTTGATATTGATATGATATTAATATTCTGTTGGCACTTTATGCATTTCTTTTAAAAATAAAAGCTGGTATGTAACACCAAACACGTCTGTAATTGGATGTACATAAAGAAAATGGATAATAAATAAATAAATCTTTCCCAAACCTCTAAAGACAGAAAGTCATCAGAAAATGCAATCATTGTTCAGATTCTCCCGAGTCACCTGTCACAGTAGATGATGACAATGATTAAAACGATTAGCTCCTAATAATTCAACAGCAGTTCAGCCTTTTCCGCTCGATTATCTGTATGTCAGCTGTGTTAACAGCCTTGAAGATGGTTGAACACATAAACACAAACATATGCACAATAAAGCAAAGCAGACACATTTTCTATTTTGTTTACATCCTGCAGAATTGGACCAAAGGGAAACCATGTGGTTTTCAAATGTTAGCTCAGCAGGCAGACTTTCAAACTTCCACAAAACATTGCCTACGTTCCCAACCCTAGTGAGCTGCCATTGTGTTTATTGTATTTCTCTCTTAGATGATTCTGCTAGTTGTCTGAGATTTTTCATCTAACCATCTCTGATCTCTCTTTCTCATTCTCTTTAGCTCACTATAAGCTACACCGACATCCTCGCGACCAGCAAAGAGAGACGTTCCCATTTACAGGAGCAATACCACTTCCTGTGTCAGTGCACACGCTGTAGCACTGAGGACAAGGTGAGCCGTGTGAACAGCCCTTCAGATCTATCTTCCCTTCCCTGATCTTTCTCATCCTCCCTTTATCCTCATTTTTCTATTCCTCTCACTTTCACCCTATCGCTCCTGGAAAAGGCTTTCTCCCCGCCTCATTGTGTCCTGGCGGGATCGCTATCTATCATCCCTCTTCTGTTTTCCGCGCTCTCTTGCTCTGTGTCTGTCCCACTCAGCCCTCCAAAGCATCTGATGATGTGTCGAGTCTGTCAGACCGGCCCTAGACCATCAGCCCCGGGGAGCCCGTCCTCAGCAAGCCCTGTCATCTGTGATCATCACTGCGACGACAGGGGCATGTCAAGAGTAAAGCTTTGGATGGCATGCATGGGAGAGACGAGTACAAGAGAGCGGCTGAATGAATGGAGTGTGGAGAGATGGGAATTTAAAGGTGAAGTGTGTCATTTCAGGGATGTTAAAATGCTTTTTCCCCCATCTGCACAAACTACTCTTAAGTAAACCATTTGTATGTTGATTCCCAGAGAATTGTAAAGACTCACGTTTGTTTCACTTCCATTTGGTTGAAAAATACAGTTCCATTTCTTTACCAATCTGTTTCTGAACTAGGCTGTGTCCCAATTCACAAACAGTACAACCTAAAAATAGATTAGATGCAAGATTAGAGTTTATGGATTCTGGACCAGACATTAGACAGATATAAGAAGCTGTTAATTAAAATTGCCTACATAGATTGAGATGATTAGTATTTTATTGTATTGGTTAGCTGTACTGTAATGTTTAGTGTTGATTTATTGTTTTGTATTGCTACAGAATCTTTTGTATTTTATTTGTTTTATTTGTAACCGTTTGTAGTGCTTTGGGTATTAGAAAATCTATTATAAATTAAATGTATTATTATTATTATTATTATTAATAATAATTTTCATTATTATTATTTATTACTATAACTTTTTTGTTTGCTAGTTTTATTTTATTTTTTATTATTCTTTTAGAATTCACTCACTTCACCTTAAAACAATAATTCACCTAAAAATAAAAATTTGGACATTACTTTCTCACCCTTATTTGGTTCTAAACCTGTCTTTCTTTCTTTTGCAGAACACAAACAAAAATATTTAGAAAAATGTATCTGTGAGTTGCTTTGGCCATACAATGAAAGTCAAAATGGTCCAGGTGTTATTTTAGACCCCAGTGACTTTTTGAAAATATCTTCTTTTGTATTGTACTGTACAGAACAAAGAAAGTCATACAGGTTTGGAACAGCATGAGTGAATGATTTTCATTTTTGGCTGAACTATCTCTTTAAATGCATTGCGAACGACATACAGAATTTGTGGTACGTGTGCTCAAACATGTCACTGGAATACACAAGTTCCCTGCAAGGCTTATGTTGTGGTTATTTTGCACCTGCATGCAGGCATCCCATGCTAAATAACTCTGCGCTGAGCTCAAGAGAAGAGGCTTTATCCCTGCTGTTAACACCTACACAGCTGCTCAGACTGACCTCTGCTTGAGTCATCTGTCAGATACTGCAGATAAGAATAAACGCTCTTGCTCAGGGCTGCTGAGATGGAGACTTGGGTTTCATCCCTGCCTTCAGTTCCTTCTGGGTCTGAATCCAAAACAGTCAAAGCTTTTTCAGCTTGTTTTTTTAGTAAGGTTTGGATTTTAGGACACCTGATATGTGTGGTGCAAACTCTGTTGATCCACCCATCAATCAATCAGCCAACCAACCAAATGTAAATCATTAAATGAATAGAGGTCTCAGGCACCAGAATATTGTAGAGACTTTAGTATTATGGAAATAAAGTAAAAATGGACACAATTTATTTTCTTAATGCATGTTGTTTAATGTGCATCCATGCATACAGCATATTAGTGTTCCGAAATTTGGGATCTAAGTGTTTTTAAAAAGAAAACTCACAAAGGCTCACAAAAGCTGCATTTATTTGATCAAAAATACAGCAAAAACAGTAATATTGTGTAATATTATTACAATTTAAAATAGATGTTTTTATTATTTTAATATATTTTAAAATGTAATTTATTTCTGTGACACAAAGCTGAATTTTCAGCATCATTACTCCAGTCTTCAGTGTCACATGATCCTTCAGAAATCATTCTAATATGCTGATTTCCTGCAGAAACATTTTTTATTATTATCACTTTTGAAAACAGTTGTGGAAACCATGGTACATTTTTTTTAATTTATAATAGTGAATTTATATAATTTATTTGAAGTATAAACTTTTGTAACATTATAAATATCTTTACTGTCACTTTTGATCAATTTAATGCATCCTTGCTGAATAAAAATATTAATTTATTTAAAAACAATCATACAGACCCCAAACTTTTGAATGGAAGTGTTTATAATATTTACCTAATTTTTTGCCTAAAAAATATTCTTCTGAAAATTAGAACAATAAAAATCTAGTTAGTGTTTTTCTCCTCTGTTTTTGTTGTTCAGCACATTTCTCGTCATCACACTCCATCAAACCCCCTCATTGTGTGTGTGTGTGTGTGTGTGGAGGGGGTGCATGAGGTAATTACAGGTGAGGTGTGTAAAGTGTTACACTGATGACATTCTGATGAGAGGGACTTGTTGATTCACCACCGGCTTTGCGGTAATCTGACAACCTGTGTGAGTGCAATAGGACACACTGACACGCTAAAACAATAGTAGCTGTATGTGCTGTAAAGTACAGGAGGAACGCTCAGGTTATCATCTTCCCAGAACCTCCGGCGACCGGAGATGTGAGTCAGGCTGACAGTCGTGTGGGGGGTCACAGAAGTTCTCCTGTTCATGAAGGCTGTCTGGCCATACATTTCTCCACTTTTTTTCTGTGTTTAGTATTCTTTGTTCTTTCACATTTACACCATACTGTATCTCCTTTACAAATCTGTTGATAATATTGACTGTGTTCCAATTCACATGTCATCAGTTCTAAATAGTATACAAGATCCTTTGGGATGCATTAAAGCAATAGATCCCCCCAAAATGAAAATGTACTTACCCTCAGGTCATCCAAAATGTAGATAAATTTGTTTCTAACTCTAGGGGAGTTGGAAAATGAGCCTATTTACAAAAATAGTGGAGTGTTCCTTTAAATCCACATTATATTATGTATAATATATAATAATTATTTGGTGAAAAAGCATGGATATATACAGTGGGTACGGAAAGTATTCAGACCCCCTTAAATTTTTCACTCTTTGTTATATTGCAGCCATTTGCTAAAATCATTTAAGTTAATTTTTTTTCCTCATTAATGTACACACAGCACCCCATATTGACAGAAAAACACAGAATTGTTGACATCTTTGCAGATTTATTAAAAAAGAAAAACTGAAAAATGCTCAGTATTTAGTAGAAGCACCCTTTTGATCTAATACAGCCATGACCCTTTTGGGAAAGATGCAACAAGTTTTTCACACATGGATTTGGGGATCCTCTGCCATTCCTCCTTGCAGATCCTCTCCAGTTCTATCAGGTTGGATGGTAAACGTTGGTGGACAGCCATTTTTAGGTCTCTCCAGAGATGCTCAACTGGGTTTAAGTCAGGGCTCTGGCTGGGCCATTCAAGAACAGTCACAGAGTTGTTGTGAAGCCACTCCTTCGTTATTTTAGCTGTGTGCTTAGGGTCATTGTCTTGTTGGAAGGTAAACCTTAGTTCCAGTCTGAGGTCCTGAGCACTCTGGAGAAGGTTTTCGTCCAGGATATCCCTGTACTTGGCCACATTCATCTTTCCCTCGAACTTGCTCACCAATGGATCCTCTGCAGTGAATGGGTGCCGTCAGAATGAGAGTCCAAACAGCTGATAAAAACATCACAATAATCCACAAGACGTTAATTGATGGACTGGAAGGGGTGTGGATTATTGTGATGTTTTAATCAGCTGTTTGGACTCTCATTCTTTTCGTTTTTGGGTAAACTGTTCCTGGAATGTGTCTCAAAGGAGGTGCTGGGGGTCTGCAGAAAATTTGAGAGAAAAAAGTTTACATGTTAAGTTAACAAGTAAAATGAAATTAACTATTATTATTATTATTATTATTAATTATTTCCCGTTCTGCTTTCTGATGACTGTCTTCTGAATAATAATTCTGAATATTTTATACACCTTTATATTTGGTTAATAGTTTTTCTAATAGATTTTTTTCTCTACTTGAAGGAACACTCCACTATTTTTGAAAATAGGCTCATTTTCCAACTCCCCTAGAGTTAAACAGTTGAGTTTTACCGTTTTCGAATCCATTCAGCCGATCTCCGGGTCTGGCGGTAGCACTTTTAGCTGTAGCTTAGCATAGATCATTGAATCTGATTAGACCGTTAGCATCTCGCTCAAAAATGACCAACGAGTTTCTATATTTTTCCTATTTAAAACTTAACTCTTCTGTAGTTACATCGTGTACTAAGACCGACAGAAAATGAAAAGTTGCGATTTTCTAGGCCGATATGGCTAGGAACTATACTCTCATTCCGGCGTAATAATCAAGGAACTTTGCTGCCGTACCATGGGTGCAGCAGGCGCAATGATATTACGCAGCGCCTGAAAATAGTCCCCAGCTTAAAAAATTTTTTTGGTAATGATTCACATCTATATTTTTTTAACTTGAGCCAATGAAAAATAAATAACTTGCCCGTAGGGCAAAAATAAATAAATAATAAATAAAAAATTGAAAAACAAATAACTTGCCCTTAGGGCAAGTTATTTACAGTGGGTACGGAAAGTATTCAGACCCCCTTAAATTTTTCACTCTTTGTTATATTGCAGCCATTTGCTAAAATCATTTAAGTTAATTTTTTTTCCTCATTAATGTACACATAGCACCCCATATTGACAGAAAAACACAGAATTGTTGACATTTTTGCAGATTTATTAAAAAAGAAAAACTGAAATATCACATGGTCTTAAGTATTCAGACCCTTTGCTGTGACTCTCATATATTTAACTCAGGTGCTGTCCATTTGTTCTGATCATCCTTGAGATGGTTCTACACCTTCATTT